GGCTGCCCCCCACCCCAGCTCTTGCCAAGAGATCCCGAACACAGGGCAGTGGGTAAATCGCTCACCATTGGGTAACAGTAATTGTAGGGATATCCGAAGTTGTACGGCTGGTACCACTGGTAATACTGCTGCAGCGCGTTTGGGTCTCCTTGCTGGGATGCATACTGCAGAGAAACATACAGGAGCATCACAACGGTCGGTGAGAAGGGAGCATGACCTGGACCTGAGCCCCACTAGTCCCCCACTGGCTATCCCAGTGTGCACCGCACCAGGTAGCAGACAGCAGCAAACCAGGTTTTTCCCAGCATGCACCGACATACAAGAAGGTCGTGCGGGCACATAACAAGACTGAGTTTAAAACCAGCATGTGGACACAACCCAACCCCTTCGGCCGACAGAGCAGACGCTCACTGGGTGCCGGGACCATCTTTTCGTTCTGGGTTTGTACAGAAGCTCGCGCAACAGGGCTCGGCGCCTCGGCTGGGGCTTCCGAGGGCGGCAGCAGCGTAGAATAAATAAGAGCAAATAAGTATAATTGGCAGGGCATAAAATGTAGTCTGCTGAAGGGATCGACCAGATGGTGGCCCTGCCATGCTTGGCATTGGCCCTGCTCTCGAAAGCTTTAAAATCGAAATCTAAAGAGAGGCAGAGGAAGGGGACGGGAGAAGTGACTTCTCCAGATTCACCCGTCCAAGCCAGGTCTCCCACGGTCCAAGCCCATGCTCGGTTGACCAGCCCTCACTGCCCCGTAACGAACTAAGCGCAATGGCATGGAAATTCACGTTTTAACCCTTCTCTTGGGCACTGGGGCCAGGTAAGATTTCCCCGCATGCTGGTGCTCAGATGAGGACCCCATGAAAAAGCGGGGGGCCTGTTACCTGCGTATTAGCTGGTCCATTGTTGGAGGCCTTGCTGGTCCCAGAGGCAGCATTGGCTTTGCTGATACTAGCCAGCGCCTGCCTGGCTTTCTCCCACTCAGGGTTCTCATGCGCTGGCCCCTCCATGTTGTTCTCCCGGGTGGCGCTGTTCCCTAGATTGTACTGGGGAGCCCTGGATGGATCAAGAGAAAGCCGAGGGTTAAGCTTGGAGTCTGGGCACATGAATCCCTCTGCCCTGACTGCAAAGGTAAAGGTTAGCCAGATGCAGCCAGGGTTAAAGCAAGCTGCAGCTTAAGCTAGGTCTGAGCAGAAAGGAGGCAGGAGTGCCACCCAGAGGATAAACAGAGCCATTCTCTCTTCATTCACGTATTCGTGAGTCTCCCTGCTTCACACACCTTCACTCACCGCTGTGCCCCCTCCTCCACTCTAGGATCGCCTGCTAACACAGCGCAACCTCTTAGTCATCATATGACACTCACCATCTCTTAAGCACCGCACAATCTTAATGCGTCTACCCCCCCGGCAGCCCCTCACCATCCTCATGCTACAGAGAGGAAACTGAGGCACAGAGAGGCGGGCGTGGGGGAAGGACCCCTAATCACTAGGTCCATGCTTCTCTGGAAGTCGTGTCTCCATCACCCCATCGTTAAATCCGATATGGAATCTGGCCTGCCCTGAAAGAGGTGCACTCTTAACAAGCCACACCAGTCTCACCAGGGCTATTTCACAGACACAAACAAGCTTGCGCCTTTACAGGTGAGTCAGAGGGCAATGTTACAGTGTGCGTTGTGACTCTGGCCCCCTCCCCTGCATTTTATCCCTTAATCCACCAGCTTCCAGAGTTATTCTCTGCATCACACCTGAGTGGCTTTCAAATAACTGTCACTTTAGTTCTTTAAAAAAATAAAGGAGCCTCTAAAATAAAAAGAAAAAAGTAGCAACATGTTCCCCACTCTGAGATTACCCCGCTTATTTGAAGTTGTCCAATATTTAGCAAGCACCCAGGCTTAGAAAACACCCAGCTGAACTATGAAAACAACTCTGCAAAGTCATCTTGCTTGGCCAGGGAGAGGCTATTTTAAGGAAGTTGTCTAGACCGCCCCTGAACTGATCAGATTTCATGGCAATTGTGTGTCTCCTTCTGCTTCTAAGGCAAGCTCCTAAAGGGTTTGTGTTAGAAATTTGTGCCTTATCTACCCAGTTCTTTCCTGGAAGACTTCAGGGCTGACTGGAGAACAGGGTGGATAAAAATCAGATTTATAATTATTTAAATGTTAGTAAGATTTTCTTTAAAAAAAAGTTTAGAGTGAAATCTGAATTTAATACAAGATATGCCAGGCCTAAAGTAACTAAATACAATTTGTGACTTAACGAGCTTATATCAAGAAACCTCAGTGTGTTACAGCCTGCTTTTCTACATAAAGATGTTTTCCGCCAGATTCTAACTTTTTATGTCACACTTCATATATATATGGCACAATAGTAGCACAAAAGCAAAATCTCATTCACCTTTTCTTAACATACTAAAAGTGTACAATTTAACAATCTGAAAATATGAAGCTCTATAACAGTTTAAATAAGTGTCTATAGCTATACTGTAACAAACCACTGTAAAGGTACTGTTATTTGTAAATCTACATTTTAATGGCTCTATCGACCAGTGAGAATACGCCTGTCATAAGTACAAAATGAAAAAGTTAATTTAAAATCGAGGGTTTAACAGGAGGCATTCCAATTAGCGATTCCAATCATGATTTAGATTCAATCCCCCAGCTGGAGAACTGGCAGGATTATGACATCACAGGTATGGAGACAGTACAAAGGTTTGCATTCCGTTCTGTACACTTCCTGTTCTGCGTTTGCAAAGCGCCTAACGCAACAGGTCTCAAAGCAATGCAACCTGTTGCTTCACTTGTCACTGTAACTTGGTCTGACTGAAGTCAATGGGACTAAATGACATGAGGAGAGAGGGAAGATTGCCAGACAATCTCTCCATCACTGATACGACAGAGAACTGATTGTTAGGAGAAAAGATTTTGAGTCTTTATCCAACATGTCAGTCTCTGTCTGTCTCTCTGGTTTTGACCCACATTCCCTAGAACAAGGCAGCACAAAACCCAATGGCTGGAAGATAAAGCCAAACCAATTAGAAATGCAGCATTCCTCACAGACGGACAGACGGGGTTTGCTAATCTATGGCTCCCTTGCTTACCACATCAACCTTCCCCCCCCCCCCCCCCCCCCCCCCCCCCCCCCCCCCCCCCCCCCCAAAAAACATTGAGATTTACCTGATTAATGGCAAAACAGTTGCATATATCACAAAGACGAAAAAACAAAACCACCCTCAGTTTTCCTCCTGTCCCCAGCAATCTTTAAACCCTGCCACATTCTAGTAAGCAGCAAAATGATTCACACACAGTTCTGAAGCTTTTTAAAAAAAAGAACTAAAAATTGACACTTCCACCCCAAGAGGCCCAATCCCGCAATGAGCTCATCATGGGCCCCTCCAACAAAGTTGACAGGGGACCCGCGTGGGCCAAATGGTCTTGCCTGTGAAGAATCTGTTGCAGGACTGGAAGTCAGAACTTTACCGTGCTAAACCCAGCACACAAATCATGAATATTACACTCAGTACCAAAGTCGATCAAATAACGTATTAGACTAACATTAATTTGACAGATTCTCCTACTAAGGCTAAGCCCTTCACTTAAATGTTTTTGACAGAAAAACCTCCCCCTAAAATAAAGTGGTCTGTGGATTTCACCTAAAAGGTTTGTATGGCCATTCTTGATGAGCCTTTTAATCTGCTTCTGGTTTATAGTCATTCTGATTGGCTCTTTCAGATGCGTGCTCAGGCTTTTATCCCCACACCATTAGTGCTAAAACACACTTCAACATACAGAAGCATTTAAAGGATGTTCATCCAGCTACACTACTCACACCTGACATATAGAAGCAGCTTAGGTGCAGCAGTTTAAAGGCTTGTTTACAGACAAAAGCTTTGATACCAGTATAATTTATGTTAAATTGTGGTTATTTGGCTAATTATGTAGTCGACACCATTTGTTGATAAGGGAGCGGCTCTGCAGAGCTGCAGTGGGGGTAGCTCTTGTGCCTGCTGGGGCTCTGCATTTTAAACAGTAAGAGCTGCCAGGCTCTTACATTTAGAAGGCAGAACCGCAGCGGTCCGGAGCCAGCATAAGCCAGGACTGCTCAATCCCAGCCCCAGGAGCCACCTGCACTTGAAATGTACAGGTGGCCCCCGACTTGCGATGCGATTGGTTCCTGGGGAATCGTTACAAGTCGGGGGCGTCATAACTTGAACCCTCATTTACAATAGGTGCCATGCGCAGTTGTAAATGCTGGCCAAGGACGCTTGAACCCTCATTTACAATAGGTGCCAAGCGCAGTTGTAAATGCTGGCCAAGGACTAAGTCGGGGTTCTTCAGCCCCTTCTGCACTTAAAAAAATGGTTGTAAGCACAGGGGGTCGTGACTCGGGCGGTCGGAAGTCGGGGCTTTCCTGTAGCAAGAGCCGCTGAGCCCTTATTGCATTTTAAATGCAGAGGCGCAGTGGTCCCGGATCGGTGTGAGCCGGGCCTGCTCGATCCCAGCTCGCTGCAGCCGCGAGCAGGGGCTGCTCCAGCAGCAGCCAGAGCAGCCTCTGAAAGAGGCAGCAGTGGGGAGATAGGGGACAAGTGGGACTGCAGAGATGGTGCTTTTAAGCTGGTAACACCCAGCACCAGTTTGTTTCCCCTCCACCCTGTTGCTGCCTCTCATACAGAGGCAGTGAAGGAGGGAGAGCAAGTAGTGGAGTACTCCATTCAACTACCCAATAAGCTTATCCGGTAGTCGAGCAGTCGATACTTGCTTACATCCCTAATTAAAATCCAGCGCATAAATCTTCCCCAGAGTGGATGAAACTATCAAGGTGCTCATAAAAGTACAGATTATTCTCATGAGGGAAATCAGCTTTACTGGTAGGCTTTTATACTGGCCCAACTACATCCACTCTAGAGGGGTGTACTGGTATAACTATTTCAAAGCAATACCTCTAACTGAAAAAGCTATACTAGTACAAAGTCTGTGTGGCTTAACCCACTAGCCTGCCCCCACACAACATTTCATCACCCCATTTTCAAATGCCTTAAAAAAATGGGCTTGTCTATGGTGCAGTAGAAAAAGAGTCCCCGCAGCACAGATAAGTCTAGCCTTAAGGAGTAAAGAACCCTTCCAAGACATTTAAAATTACAGGTACAGGAGATGAGGGTGATTGCACTGCTACTAGCTGTTGCTTCAGAGGAAAGAGCACAGACAACCACAATGCACAGAGAACAAGGATCTGTTCCTGTCCCATCTGAGTCACTAGTTTATGCTCTGAAAAAGAAGATTCCTTTGTCACTATTTGGTGACATGCTGATCCAGCCTGCTGACTAAGACATGTGGCAGCCTGGGAGAATGAGAGCTTAGTTTGCTTTGGCCCATGAATCTGGGCTTTTGTCAAAGGAACGCCTCATTGCTAGGGAGCCAATTCACTGCTCCCCTCTACTCCCCTTCCCCGCCAAAGTCAACCTGAAGCAGCAGCAGATTAACCAGCGACCTCTACAGCCCCCACCCAAGCACCCAAAATGCAATGATCACCATTCAGGAGATCGCTGGTCGCCTAGGTTGGTCGCCATCGTTCCGTCGCTGGAGGTGGAAAAGCTGGGATTATAGCAGTGGCCCCTGCGCCCGGCTCCGTAGACACACCGTGTGGGGTCGCCGGGTGCAAAGTCACAGCACCCCGAACAGTCTGTGCCTCCTGGGCGTATGGCCGGGCAGGAATCCAGGGGTGCCCCCCTTCGCTCTGTATCGGTGGGGGGGCGGCTCAGCCTCCTGGGTGCGGGCGGGCGAGAACTCGGGGGGCCCGGCCCCACGCTCCAGGGCAGGAAACAGGAGGCCCTGGGAGCCAGGGGAGGGGGGGCTAGTGGTTAGAGCAAGGGTCTGGGAGCCAGGGGAGGGGGGGCTAGTGGTTAGAGCAAGGGTCTGGGAGCCAGGGGAGGGGGGGCTAGTGGTTAGAGCAAGGGTCTGGGAGCCAGGGGAGGGGGGGCTAGTGGTTAGAGCAAGGGTCTGGGAGCCAGGGGAGGGGGGGCTAGTGGTTAGAGCAAGGGTCTGGGAGCCAGGGGAGGGGGGGCTAGTGGTTAGAGCAAGGGTCTGGGAGCCAGGGGAGGGGGGGCTAGTGGTTAGAGCAAGGGTCTGGGAGCCAGGGGAGGGGGGGCTAGTGGTTAGAGCAAGGGTCTGGGAGCCAGGGGAGGGGGGGCTAGTGGTTAGAGCAAGGGTCTGGGAGCCAGGGGAGGGGGGGCTAGTGGTTAGAGCAAGGGTCTGGGAGCCAGGGGAGGGGGGGCTAGTGGTTAGAGCAAGGGTCTGGGAGCCAGGGGAGGGGGGGCTAGTGGTTAGAGCAAGGGTCTGGGAGCCAGGGGAGGGGGGGCTAGTGGTTAGAGCAAGGGTCTGGGAGCCAGGGGAGGGGGGGCTAGTGGTTAGAGCAAGGGTCTGGGAGCCAGGGGAGGGGGGGCTAGTGGTTAGAGCAAGGGTCTGGGAGCCAGGGGAGGGGGGGCTAGTGGTTAGAGCAAGGGTCTGGGAGCCAGGGGAGGGGGGGCTAGTGGTTAGAGCAAGGGTCTGGGAGCCAGGGGAGGGGGGGCTAGTGGTTAGAGCAAGGGTCTGGGAGCCAGGGGAGGGGGGGCTAGTGGTTAGAGCAAGGGTCTGGGAGCCAGGGGAGGGGGGGCTAGTGGTTAGAGCAAGGGTCTGGGAGCCAGGGGAGGGGGGGCTAGTGGTTAGAGCAAGGGTCTGGGAGCCAGGGGAGGGGGGGCTAGTGGTTAGAGCAAGGGTCTGGGAGCCAGGGGAGGGGGGGCTAGTGGTTAGAGCAAGGGTCTGGGAGCCAGGGGAGGGGGGGCTAGTGGTTAGAGCAAGGGTCTGGGAGCCAGGGGAGGGGGGGCTAGTGGTTAGAGCAAGGGTCTGGGAGCCAGGGGAGGGGGGGCTAGTGGTTAGAGCAAGGGTCTGGGAGCCAGGGGAGGGGGGGCTAGTGGTTAGAGCAAGGGTCTGGGAGCCAGGGGAGGGGGGGCTAGTGGTTAGAGCAAGGGTCTGGGAGCCAGGGGAGGGGGGGCTAGTGGTTAGAGCAAGGGTCTGGGAGCCAGGGGAGGGGGGGCTAGTGGTTAGAGCAAGGGTCTGGGAGCCAGGGGGGGGGGGGCTAGTGGTTAGAGCAAGGGTCTGGGAGCCAGGGGAAGAGGGGCTAGTGGGTAGAGCAAGGGTCTGGGAGCCAGGGGAGGGGGGGGGCTAGTGGTT